TTCACTTGCAGAACACAAGCTTCTAGAGGCACATAAGTCTGAAGTAATGAATTTAGGTAAAGGGGTGCAGAGCCAGTGGTGGTTTTGTAGGCAAACATTAATGCCTTGAATTTTATGCGAGCAGCTATTGGTAGCCAGTGCAAACTGATAAACAGAGGTGTGACGTGCATTCTTTTAGGCTCGTTAAAAATGAATCTTGCTGCCGCGTTCTGGATTAATTTGAATAATTAAATAATTCATTTTAATGTCTTTATATATACATAATAAATATACACACTACACACACAAATTATGTAAACAAAAGCTTTTATTTTGAATGTGATTAATCGCAAATAATTGTTTGACAGCACTACATTATACATATTCTATTGGTTTCTGTACCCAATATTCAAACATATATAAATACAATGAAAATACCGGTATCAGTACTCAGTATCATCAAGTACCAAAAATAAAAGTATCTGTATCGGCCAAGTACTGGAAAAAGTTGTATCGGAGCATCCCTTCCACCTACTGCCGATTTACTCTCATATTTTAAGGTATCATTGCATTTTTTCCAACTTTTCATATTTGTGTATTAAAAATGATTTAAAACCCTAAGCTCATGCATTATTCATTTGGTTGTAAATTTGCAATGTAAATGTAAATTCATTAATGAAATGTAAGAAGTTGATATGAAAAATATGCAAACATTTTATGATATTAGGGAAAAACATTGGAAATCAATTTTAAGGGGGCATACATCACAAATATGCTGATTTCAGTAAGAAATAATATAGAAGTTATAAAGTTTAAATTATTTAGATTTTCTCACATATCCAAGAGTATCATCATTGCATCATTGTCAAATTGTATGGTTAATTTAAAACATTGTGTCTGATGTATTGTCCAGGTGCTGTATCTCCTTGGTCAACTCCAGAGTAATCATGTGGCACAGGAGAAACTGAAGGAGCAGCAGGAGGAGGTGTCTAAACGGGAGCACGAGCAAATGCAGCGTCTAAAGTTTCAGGTGTGGATGTCTCCATACATTGCATATATCGTTTTGACCAGGTTCTTAATAACTTAATATTCTTAATATATTAAATAAATGTTGAAATATATAGGTATATAGTTAAATGCATAAATAAATATGTATTTATTTATGCATTCATTTATTGCCTCCACATTTTATTTTCAGGGTTATGGTTGTCGGCACGTCACTCAACAATAGTGGGTGTCACCTTTCAAACTCGATTTCTTTGGTCATTCTAGTTTAGGCGCCTTTGTCTTGTTTTTAGCATCACAAACTATGGCTGAGCATGGTACAGTAATGGCTCGTTTCCACCAAGCAGTACGGTTCAGTACAGTACAGTACGGTACGCAATTATTTCCGTTTCCATTGTCAGAAGTTGTGAATGGCACCATAAAAATGAGCCGTGCCATACCATTTTTTTTGGTACCCTTCTGTTGGGTTACCTAGCACAGCAAAAGGAACGCTGATTGGTTGAGTAGAATCGCCACTTGCACGTGCTACAAGGGGAATAAAGTGTCTCCTTCCTTCACACGTTCCGCCATGCTGTTCATGTGTGTTGGGCTTATTTACATCAGAGTGCGCAAACACAAAAATATATAACAGTGTATTTTATAATTTTCTATTTTCACACACATACAATAGCCGTTTCTCAATATGCTTTACTGTCTATAATTGTGAAACATCAGTCATTGCCCAAAAACCCGCAAAATGTTCAAAATACTACTGTTATTGTGTTGTGAAATGTACCGTATTGGCCCGAATATAAGACGACCCCCCGTTTTCCAGATGTACCTTTTGGAAAAAGGCTTTTTAAAAACCAAATCTTGTTTTTTCTCAGTAAAACACATTTTGTCTTCAATTATTTTCATATTGCATATTTTTCCTATTTTAATTTTTGGTTTGAAAGTATGGTAAAAACTGGTAAAATGTACCAACAATCACATTTAAAAAATATACACTTTTTGATATACCATTAAAAAAAAAAAAACAAGAAGCCCATCTGAATTAGGGCATTTAGGCTATCCATCTAATAGTAGCCTACCAAAATCTTATTAACAGTAGAAGTAAAATCCTACTGTAGTCTTCAAATCTGGGTACTGTCTTATGTTTTAAAATCACAAAGGGAGTTTGGTCCCATCAGGCTAACGTGACAGTCACGACTCATGCAGCTGTAAGGTTTTCTTTTTCTTTTGTTTTTACTCGCGATCTTTACAACACGCATTACATTACGTATTTCATGGCACACTCGTTTTATGCGTATTTGGCGCCACCTATTGTTGTGGGTGTATTATTGGCATGTCAAAGTCTAGACCCTGAATATAAGACGACCGCGTTTTTTCAGATGTATTTCCAAGAAAAAAACATTGTCTTATATTCAGGTCAATACGGCAGTTTTAAGAGTTTTCAGGCGAGAATGTAGTTGTTTAAAACTCAAATCTGCGGTTTATTTATAAAGAGAGCACCTATTTGAAAATTGATGCCGATTTCGGAGATGTGAGCTCCAGTCGATGAGAGGGCACTTAGTACTCATGTATCCTACTGAGAGCAGCCTTACCTTGGCTAGTCCGTCTGACATTTGCCACTGGCTCTGATGTCTCTGTAGTGGTTAAACATGAGATATAATTTGTTTTTGGTAGGCTATATCTAACAGGTAATCTTTGGTCTCATGAATCTATTATTTGTTCCTGGTCATATCGTTTTGGCTGAGCACAAAGTTATGTTTCATAACTTTATATATTTAAGTTTACCATAGTACAGCGCTGACTTTGTAGCATACGTTTGACTTAATTGTTTGCTTTTGTCTTTATTTCCTATTATATAAGCCTCTTATACTTTGTACTTATACTTTTATAATGGCTATTATTGTTCATTAAAATTGACATTTAACAAAAAGAGGCAGAGTTGTGCTTTGTATTATTTCATTTTATCATACATACATACAGTGAAGATAATCAGAGTATATATGCATATTTCCTGAACCACATATTAATGTTTTATATTTTTAAAATGAAAACAAAGAGAGGCAGTGGTGTTTGATATCCTATTTTGTTTTATTGTAATGTATGTACGCATTGCCTGATCTGCATTTTTGTGGCTATTATTGATATGTTCAAATGAAAACGGAAAAGAGGCAGTGGTGTTTGACATATTTTATTTTATAGTAAATATACATATAGTGCGGATAACCGGAGCCAAGGTGAGCTGAGCGACGTTATCAAATAACCTGCGCTGCTGTTCCATTTGCAGAATTACTGGACTTGAGTCCTCCCATCCTCAGGAGTTCGCACAAGTCTGAACTTTGCGTAATTGGTATTGAGAAACGGATATTGTCGCTCTTTCTTCTTTGTGTGAGAATGACATTGTACTGTTCTGAACCATACCGCTCGGCTGAAACGAGCCGTTCCTGTACCATGCTCAGCCATAGCTCGTGATGCTAAAAACAAGAAAAATGTGCCTAAACTAGAAAGACCAAAGAAATCGAGTTTGAAAGATGATGCCCACTATTGTTGAGTGACATGCCTACAACCGTAACCCTGAAAATGAAATGTTGAGGAAATAAATGCATTTTTATTTATGCATTTAATTATTTAATTATGCATTTAACGATTAGTATATTTCAACATTTATTTAATGATTTAATTTGGAGTAATTTGGCCCTCCATAGACTGGTTATTCTGTAACAAAAATGATTGTTGAATTTGGGTATAAGTAGTTTCTTTGTGTAATATGTAAAGTACAATAAAAAAAGTAGGGCTGCACGATAAATCGCATGCGATTGTCATGCGCATCTTGTCAGTAAAGCTGGTTCTGTAATTAGTAGTAAATCTCTATCTCGTGCTTTCAGATGGAGTGGCATTTAATACACAGAGCCATAGTTCACTGACAAGCTACGCAATATCGCGTTCATAATCGAAGGCGATTCATCTGCGATAATGAACACGATATTGCGTAGTTTGTCAGTGATCTACGGCTCTGTGTATTACATGCCGCTCCATCTGAAAGCGCGTGATGGAGATTTACTACTAATCTCAGAACCGGCTTTACTGACGAGATGTGCATGACAGTCACATGCGATTTATCGTGCAGCCCTAGAAAAAAGATAAATTTTTGGGTTGATGAGGTATGCAGGCATTGTCTTATTGCACTCATTGTGTCAGAGTTACCTATTAAACATGACATCATTCGCCAAGTAAAACAGTGAACGTTTAAAAATATAAGGATAATAAATAAATACATATAAATATATATATTGCTTTGTCACAGGAAGATGACATTGAAAAACTGCGAGAACTTAATGATCAGAACCAGAAACTCAAAGATGAAAATGAACAGTACAAACAGGTATAAGCCTTTTCACTCACAAATTTCATCATACTGTAATTTAGCAAAGTGATAACTGAATTTACCAATTACGTTTTCCATATAAGTTGTTCAGGCAATATTCTGAAACCTAAAACATTTTGTTTTGTGGGTGGATCTCCACAGAAATTACTTCTGGCCCAGCTGACGAGTGCAAAGAAAGTCCTCTCTTCTGTGAATGAGTCACCTGATACATCTTTTGAATATGTTCCACCTAAGGTGAACCTCATTGCTTCGGGCTTCTTGACTATTTTCTCCATGCTTCCAGGATTTAGACGTCTATTCTGACCACTGTCTTTTTCCCCTCCACATCAAGCCCAAAGCCAAAATCTACTCCACTGCGCGGGCACGTCTGCAAGAGCCTATAGATCTTGATGAACTCATCTCTCCGTCAGAGTCTGAGAAAGAAGAGGACGAGTGGCATCCAGAGAAAAATGACAGAGCACGGCGAGGCTCTAAGAAGTCGAAAATGAACGGCGTGAGTTTTGTGACAGGGACACATGGATTGTACATCTTGAATGATACAGTCATGTATATTCACCAGGATATGCCTTGGAGTTTGTTGCAGCTTTATATAGCTCTTTCAAAACTGTATAGTGTTTCTTCCTAAAGGCTTTCCCTTTTAGCAAGCCATTTATGTGTGATTCTGTCTTCTATAGTGTGCATGTCGGGGCCGCTGTATTAACAAGCTTTGTCGATGCCGCAAGGGAAAAATTACCTGTGGGGAAAACTGTCTCTGTGACCATGAGAAATGTCGCAACATGGAGAACCGTAGCAATGTGGTTAGTAGATTGTTCTTTTAGAGCCAAAATTTGTTTGTTTACCCTGTGGATGGCCAATTCCTGATATTATTACTTCTAATATTGTCCACAGGATCAGACTGAAATAAGTGATTTGTCTAAGGACTCTGCTGCAGTTCCTGAGGACCCTACAGCAGTCAGCCCACGAGATGCTACTTTTTTTAGACCCCCTAGTGTTCCACCTACTAAGAAGGTAAGACCAAGAGTGTTTTTTCTTTATAAAGGAATAGTTCACTCCAAAAGGAAAACCGCTATGCTTTTTCATATTTGTATGTATTTTGTATATTTCCATTTGATGTAATATAGAATTCATACAAGCATATATATTCAATACATGAGCATTCTATTTGGCTCAACTGTCAAAAAGGAAATTCTTGATCTAATCTGAATCTAAATAGTTTATTATTACGATTTTTTAGAAAAGCAGTTTTGTTAAAATATACAAATTTTGGTTGGGGGGGGGGGTTGGGTTGTGTTGGGGGAATGATACAAATGTACACAGACTGTGTCAAGATCAGTAAAATAGCTTTGTAAAATATCAGATGATTTTACCTTTTTATGGCACTGGAATGTTCAAACATTTTACAACATTTTCAAAAACAATGATATTTATAAAATAATGAGTTATAAAAACAAAATGCCTTAAAAATAAAATATGAAATATAAAAAAATATTAAAATATAACGTTTGACTGAATAATTGCTAGTCTCTAGTTTCATTGTATGGTTTTTCCATGTCCGATCTAACTAAAAATCATTGTAGAAGCGACAAGTACATAAGCCAGAAGTATCTGCAAGAAAAAAGTTTTAACTATGACCTCAGTTTTAATATGTGCTGTTGTTGATTGCCACAAAAATAAGACTGTTAAATGAAATATTCATATAGAAGTCCAATACATTAGAGAAAAATATCCAATTGTCTATGCAGAGCACACTGTTGTAAGGTCCATTCAAATACTTTTAAGTTGCGCTCATTCATTAGGAATCTATAGAAATATTTTCACACTTGAAATAGTTAACCCTAGGTCATACTAAACCCTGACTAAAAGAAATTCTGGTCTGTCTTGCTTCCTGTTTCACACTGGTCATAATTTACCAGGGGTTAACAAACTAAATCCTGGGTATTCATAAAATGACGTATACATTCCTGACGTATACAAATGGGTTAAAAACAGGGTTTGGAACTACACGCTAATATGCTTCTCAGAGTCTCGCAACAACCGTTACTGCAAATATCACAGTAACAAACTCTGTAGTCTGATCATTACCCAGAGGTTATGAATAATACAATTTAATAGGCCATACATGAATGCTGATATTTAAATAGTAGTTCTGTTTAGTCCCATACAGTCGCCAAAGTATAAACTTAGTTAAAGCTCAATTAATAATCTAATAAGAGTTTATGGCTAGTACTATGAAGTATGTCATCACATGCTTGCTAATACCTCAATAGTATTTTTGTCTAGCCCCTATAGTTAATATAACTATATAACAACTTGAATTACATTGAGAAAGTAACCAGAAGTTATGGCTTGTACTATGAAATAATGGCCATGCTTTCCATTCTTTCAATAGTGTTATTGTCTAGCCCTTCATAATGAATGCATCTGCATAACAAGTTAGTCAGAAATCTAGAATCTCGGCTGATGTGCCCCATACTTAGGGTGACCATACGGGCCATTTTTACGGGACGCACCCTTGCCAGGATTTCTATATTGCCTAAAATATCCAGGTTTTGGCTGTTAGCACTGTGCAGATCGATCGTTGTATGACATTATTTCACGAGAGCTATAGAGAGCAGCGCAAGACGGCTCCTTATGCTTTCATGTTATTGGTCAAACTACTTTGAATGTTTTAGGCCAGTGGTTCTCAAACTGGGGTACGCGTATCCCTGGGGGTACGTGAGATGACGGTGGGGAGTACGCAAACAAAATTCTGAGTTTTGGCATTCATTTAATATCCCAACTTAAAGCAACATTAAAACCGAACGTATTTCTGACAAGCAAAATGCCGCTTCTAATGTAAAAACAGGAAAATGGGAGTGTCGTAAGCAGTCAAATACATCCGATCAGATTACCTCATTTTTTTGCGGTCAAAACTGACTGCATCCACACAAGCAGCGTGCATGTGATAGAATGGCCGCTGAATATGCTGCTTTAGCAAATCGCGCTGCTGGTCAATGTATCTTTAAAGTAGATCTTCACTTTATAGCATGAAGAGCAAATATTGACACGCACTGTACATTGAGATCGAATTAAACTCTTCGATACAGACACCCTCTGTGCGTGTTATTGTTTTCATGTTTAAGATACGAGCAAGAATGCAAATTTCCCTGAATATCCAAACGATGGCAAATGTGCCATTAATTTTTACAACAGTTCAACAAAAAAGGTAATATTAAGTGAACATTTTACATTTGAAATGTAGCCTACATTTTAAACAATCATGTTTGTTCTATTTTGCAACGAAATAATAGTTCCAACGAAATCCATATCATCTGGTGTGCGTAGCATGAAGAGCAAATATTGACACGCACTGTACATTGAGATCGATTTAAACCAGACACACCAGACACACTCTGTGCGTGTTATTGTTTTCATGTTTAAAAGACTGCAAATTTCCCTGAATATCCAAACGATGGCAAATGTGCCATTAATTTTTACAACAGTTCAACAAAAAAGGTAATATTAAGTGAACATTTTACATTTTAAATGTAGCCTACATTTTGAACAGAATAGTGTCATGTTTGTTCTATTTTGCAACGAAATGCTGTATGATGCTTGGTTGATAATAGTTCCAACGAAATCCGTATCATCTGGTGTACGCACACCAGATGATACGGATTTCGTTGGAACTATTATCAACCAAGCATCATACAGCAGTGTTTCGTTAGTGAACGAATCTGCGGCTTTGAACGATTTGGAGAGTCATGTATTAATAACCCATTCATAACTACAGCATGTGCTTCGTTACTGAATGAATGAATGAATGACGCGACGCCTGG